CCCCCCCCCCCCGAGCATGGGATGAGCGCTTCGGGATCGGCCCTTCGGGTTTCGGTTTAGAAAGCACTCTGAATTCTTATTATTTTTGTGTGTGCGTGTGAAAAAATGCTCAGTGCAACGAAATAAAATGGCCAGGAGGAGGAGGGGAGATTTGATGGCGTCGGTGCTGCTTTGGCTGCACCAAATCCTCGTGCCGGGAGCGATGCTGCTGTCCTATGGGGGGATGGGAGCCTCCCCAGGGGATCCCCGCAGCAATCGGCACGGACAAGGGACGTTTTGAATCCGATGGCAATGACTGTGGGATGGAAGAACATTTCTGTGCCTCATTTTCCCCCAGCGTGGAAAGGTCTGAGGAGCTCTTTGGGGCAGGGGGAAGAATTTTCCTGTTCTTCTATGAAGCTTTGCAGTAATCCCTGCCTTAATGCTGCCAGTCCCACGCGGTGCCCTATGCAGACTGCATGGTCCATCCCTCTATAGCTGAGGATTTAGCTTGCCCAGCCTCTCCCAGGATACTTTATCATTGTAAGCACAAAACACCTGAAACATCTCAGTGTAGGATGGCTGCTGTGCCCCGTCAGTCACCCACAGCCCCATTATGTGGACAGGGGGACAAGGGTGAGACCAGGGAGAGGACACTGGGCTGGGTGGGTTGGTTGGGCACTGGGGGGAACCTGAGGAAAAGGGAGGGAATGTGGGGCTCAGGGATGCTGTGATGCTGCCAGTGGGATGCTGAAGGGTTCCTGCTGTAAAATCCTGGAGAGAAACTCCAAATCAGTGCTGGGTCTGAGGCCCCAGGCAGAGCATTTTTCTCACTCCACACCAAATATAGTCGAAAATGTGAAATATTCCGGGAGGAATTTCTTCACACATAAGTCATGTTCTCAATAACCTCTACTTGGTGAGTCTGGATCCGATGTCAACATCTGCAGTGATTAAGAGAGAGTGAGTAAGGAGGAATGGAATGGAAACTCAGCTGAGTGTGAAACCAGGAACAATCCTTTTCTCTTCCCCTGAGCTCTCAGCTGCCAGCTCTGCCCCACAGCAGCTGAGTGGGACGTGGCACTGCTCTGCAGGGTGAGGGGCAGTGGGGTGGGAGCAGCAGAGAGGTGTCTGCAGACAGGCAGACAGACAGACAGACACGGATAGCTGTGTGCTGCTGCCCTTTGGGAGGTCAGAGCCGGTTCTGCAGCTCTGGGCTCAGTCCTGGTCTGCAAAAGGGCAGTGATGGCACCATAGGAGTTGTGTGTCTCATCCTAGCAGGATCTCATAGACCCCCTCAGTTAAAACCTGTGGGCTTTGGGAAAAAAAGGCTCCGTCTGCTGGAAGTGCTGGCACGCATCTGAGCACTGCAGAAATCCCAAAGTAGCCCCAAACGCTGAGCTGTTGTGAGTGAAAGCGAAAGAGTTACTGGTTGTAACGCTGTAAATCGTCCGCATTTGGCAGCCGCAGCAAACGTGCATTCCTGGAGGGTCTGCAGCAAGGCAGAGCTGGAGCGGGCAGCTCTGACATTTCAGCTTTGTCAATGGCTGCCAGTGAGCCAAAGGGCAGACGTGGATTGTGCTCTGTGCAGCCATTGAGGCTTCAGACAAAGAATCCCGCACCTTGCTCTCTTCGGATACAGCAATTAACCAGGGCACCACGGCAGGACTGCAGCACGCTTTGAGGTTAAGCCTTCAAACAGACGGGAGGAAGATGTTGGAATCCGGCAGGAGCTGCTGCTCCCAGGGAAAGGTTTCACCTCTGCCATCTACCGGCACACAGCGGAGATCTGCCACCACCTCACTGCTCATGCTGTGCACACAGCTCCTGTCTGGAGCTGTACGCTGGAAAAACACCTCGGTAATCTTTAACCCCCCAGAAAACCATCGCAGGGCTCTTGTCGGACTGATGAGCCCAAGGGAGGGCAGCTGAGATAAATTGGGATCACTCCAGCTGCACCCATCAGCTGAAGGTCAGCTTTCAACAGCTCAACCTGCAGCAGAAACTTGTCCTAAAGGAGCATAGGAAGGTGTGAGAAGCGATTCAGGTGGAGAGGAACCATCAGTAATCAGACCCAGAAAATAACTGCGATGTAAGCAGTGCACAGCAAAGCGCTCTTTATTTTGTATCACACGTTTTCTTTGAAGGCAATAGAGCAGAAAATCAAAGGTTTTTGTAAGTAGCAAACGTTTACATATGTAAATGAAATGGTGATCTTAGTGTGTTCAACGTGTTGTTAACTTAGTAATGGTTATAAATACCTCAACAGCTTTCTTACCACGTAGGCAGGGGAAGGACCTGAAGGCACCTTCAGTTTTGGGAAAGAGAACAATGAAAACGCCTCAGGTAGTCAAAGCAGTTCAGTTTCTTTTGGGAATCACCTCTTTCTGCCACACTGAACATACGAGTGGAGCTCTTCTGTTGTACAATGCAAGAGTTACTCAGAGGGACTGAGGGAGACTGGAAGAATGTGGCTGTGCTTCTCTAATTCTGTCTTTTTCTTTTTCTCGACGGATTCCCAAGAGAAAACACAACTAAAAGATCAAAATGTTTTTGGTTCTGACCTAAGATAACATTCTTTGCTTCATGCATGTGCATCAAATGTGAAAACTGTGCCATTTTTATTGCAAACATACACAGTGGGAAAAGAATGTGGTTTATGTTCCCAATGCTAAGGGCCCTGACCCACTTCCTCAGTGCTGCTGAGTGTGAGGGGCAGAGCTCCAGAGGAGCAGAGCGAGAGTCTGTGAACTCCACAGCATCAGATGGTGCTGCTGCCACTTCTCATGGTCAGGTAGAGTATTTCCTTGTGGAAGTTAGCTTGTGCGTTTACAAGGTGGAACAGATTCAGAAAGCTGACGTCCTCTTGGTCACGATTCCCTGTCAATACAAAGGAAAAACCAACTAAGTGACTTCTCTGAAGACAAATCTTACCCGTCCTGTGTTTATTGCAGAGGACAAATCAGCAATTTCCACTTAGATTTATGAGGCATCAGCTACGCTGCACCTGATGGTAGGACAGCTGTGAAATAACATGGGAGACTCTCTCCAAAATTCCTTTGCTGGCTCATCCAAAGATGGACAAACAGGAACACTTGTGTGCTAGGATGAAAACCTTCCTAACCAAGCTGCACAGCTCACTGTCAGAACCAGTGCTGAGCTCTTACTGGGGCTGACAAGATGTGCACAGGCCGTTGTGCCACACGGAGCTGCTCAGTGCCAGCTCCTGCTGAAGGAGCTCATCCTGCAGGCTTACCGGCCAGCACTGCCTGCAGCATGTCCATGACCATGTGAGCAAAGGCGTTCTCCACGCTCTGCAGGAAGATGTTTCTCTCTCCCGGGGTGCTGAAAACTTTGCAGACCTTCTGCATCATTTTTACTGCCCAGTCCATGCAGTACAGGTCCTTCTCACAGACCTGACGTACACATGAAATATCAGAAACGTGGTTTTTTTGTGACAAGAATGACACTAAAAAGGCAAGATTAAATCTTAGCTTTAACAACTGACTCTAATGAATGACTGCGCTGGTTGCAAGCAGAGCTAATTGTGGGGACATACAAGTTATTGTTGAGGAATCTCCTCTGCCTTTTGCCAGAGGTCCCTCTTCTCAGGAGCAGGCTTGCAGGCTTGCTGCCTTGCAGAGGTGTGCTGGACGTGTTGCAGAGGGACCAGAGAGGGACAGAGGACCAAGTCTCCTGCTGGACTTCTCAAGGATCACAGGAGTAGATGGGGAAACAGATTTCAAGTCTAAGAAAGCGAATCTGGGAGTAAAGAGACAGAAGGGGCTGCTCAGCAGTACTCACTAAGGCCAGGAAGACCACAAGTCTGGCTAACTCCACAGCTCTTCCATTCACAGCTTTGCTGGCCATGAAAGTGAAGCAAATGTTGTTTCCACTCAGAATGAGGAGCCGAGCGTTGTTCTCCAGCAGCCACTCCCGGGGAACCACTTTGTAACAAAATTGGGACAATCTTAGTGAGCTTTAAACAAGGGGGAGCACCTTTATGGGCTGTTCTGGAAAGTGTGAATTTATAAATCGCTGGCTTTGGTGGCTAAGAAGAATTTGTGGGGGGCTGCCCTCAGAAATACAGTTAGCCAGGGCTTGAATTTTAAAGGACTTCACAGATTCTTAAAATACTTCACAATGGGGAAAGACAGCCTGGGTTTATAAGCTGGGTTTCTCTCTTCCTCAGCTTCCAAACCTAATGACTTTTCCAGCTACCCCTCAGCTACTGCAAGGAATATTGCAGTCAGTTTCCCAAGGCACTGTGCGTCTGGAATGCAATTAATGCTGGGAGATGTGAGCATGTAATGCCATGGATTAATGAGAAAGGTAAAAACACACCTGACAGCTCATCCACAAGGCTGATAACATCGTCTGCTGTCCATTCTCTTGCTTCTGCATCGTACAGGAGCTTAATGGCATCTGCTAAACCTTTCAGACTGGTCTCATCTGTTGGTCCTTCTATCATTTTCTGCCAAACCACGTGTCCTGAGCAATATTAATCACAACTGCTTGTAAGGGACAAAGTAATTTTTTTAACCAATGAAACTGGGCCTTGAAGAGGAAGGGAGTTCAGGTAATGTAATTCAGCCTTGGTGACAGTGAGATTTTTCTTCCATCATTTTGTAGGGGTCGTAGCAGCAGCAGTGTGAATCATGGGGTGATTTAAAGAAAGTCTGGTTTAATAGCAGTGAAAAAGGTTGTTTTTCCTCAAGGAAGCAAGATGCTTCTTTGAGGTGTGTTCAATCTAACTCTGCTCTAAGCAGGGTGCAGTTTCCTCATTTAATTGTAACTTAATATCTACATTTGTCACGTCAAGCTGAAGATTTTTCTCTAGGTGATACGATTACATTTGATTGGCACAAAGCCTGGGATCAGAAACGCTACACCCTAAAGGAAATCTCGCTCTCGAGGAACACATTTTGAACAGTGACCCCCCCCCAAAAAAAAAACTACTTGCCATCAAGAGAGGACACTGGCCCAAAGATGATGTAGAGCAGGCGAGCTTGGTTGACCATTGGCCACGGCTTTAAAATCCGAGTCAACCAAAAGGCAGAATCGCTGCGATGAACCCAGTGGTTCAGCAGGACGCTCCTGCAGAACAGCCTGATCCTCAGCTCCAGCTTCCTGGCACTTCCTGGGGGAACAAAGACAGATATCAGCCCCCTGTCCTTCCCACAACACAGGGATCATCTTCTAGGAAGAGAGAGAAGGGATTTCTGAAGGAGGGGGCATTAATTCTCAGCTGTTTCTTGCTGAGTTTGGCTCCTTTGGATAAATTGCAGTAATTCAGTGCCCCCTCTGGGTACCCCTCTGCAGCATCTCCTGTAAGTGTGCATTCAGCTCTGCTGTTTGATTGCTCTGATCTTTTCTCTCTGATGAAATCAGTAAGTGGAAACGGGAGGAATTGTGTATAAAGTGTTCCACAGGAAAAGCCAGAGCAGTGCTGGCCAACAGGAAAGCTTCTTCAAAGTGCATTTCAGAAATATCAGATCTAATTATTACTGCATCACTTCTCTCTTGGTTGATTTCTCTTTGATTTCCCTGGCAGTGCTGTCCAGGAGATACTCAAGCCTATGTTTTGAGTTCTGTGTGTAACATCTGTACTGCTTTGATAATGCAACGATAAAATAATCTAAAAAAAAAGGGATGGCTCTCAAGAAATCTCTCTCAACCAACCTTTGGTTTTGGTGGGAAAAGAAATGTATCTCTATGAAGGCAAAGTGTTTGCTTTAGAATGCCCACTGTGTGTGACAGCAGGGCTGCTAACATACATGTGAGTCAGGATCAGTGCTTCAGCTGAGTTAAATTGCTCTCTAGTCTTGATGAGTGCTGTTTGCAGCCATCAAGATCCATTTTCTGGCTTCTCCATGGTGCACTTTGATTTCGGAGGAGCTGCTTTGCTGTTACCTGGCTTGCAGCTGACGACTGCCTGTACTTTCCTGGGTAAACTACTGAGCTCACAGAGGAAGTTGAAGACCCGGTGACATTCCAACTCATCCCAGCCTGCTATGAGGATCTGGAGATCACAAAAAAGAAAACAGGGGGAAATAGATGGATTGAACTGCAGGTTTAGACACAATTGCAACTTCTCATGTGAAATAAATCCAATCTGTCCCCTCCCATCCCAGCCAAGGCTTAAATATTCTTAGGCATCTAAACATACTGCAAAAGCACAGATTAATTGGTAGAACAAATTCTTTTTGGTGATACTTGCCTTCTCTCCAGAAAGGTACCATACCTGCAAAAATACCCCATAGCATTGTAATCCCACACAGTGCAAAGGACTCGGACAGCCGTTGAGTTTAAAGCAGGAAACCTGTAAGCACAGACAGAACAGCAGTAATTAGCAGTAAATAACAGAGGTGGATTCCTGGGATTGCAAACGATCATCTTTCCTTGTGTACTGATCAGAGGGATTCAGAATTCAAACTCATTGTACTGTGGGAATGACCTCCAGCATAGAGACAGTAAGAGACCATTCCACCACAAATTACTGTAAAGAAATTCAGGTGAGGGTTCAGAGCAGGTGGGCTTACTTCAGAGAGAACCTTGTGTATGTACTTCAGCCTGTCTTTGGTAGGCAGCAGAAGGGTGCACCTCTTAAGCAACAATCCTGCAAAGGAAATAAGCACAGCTGTGAGAACCTCACATGGCACACAGGTTACTGAATTGCCTGAGCTGTTTGTTCAGAAGCATTTTTTAGCAGCTTGCTCTTCAAAAGCTTCTATTGGAATAATATATAGAGTGGTAGAATTATTGAGGTTGGAAAAGACCTTTAAGATCATCAAGTCAGAATAAGGCATGGATAGTTAATTAACCAAAGAAATCTGCAGAAAATCTGCTCTGACATGGGGCTCACACCCCCATTTAAACAAGTTGCCATTTCATTTGTGGTTACTATGCCTGAGCCAATTTCAATTAACAACAACAAAACAACAACTTTAGGGTATCAGACTCATTTTAAAAACAAGTCAAGCACTGAACTTATTTTAAGATACCTTACAATCTACGTGGCTTGCTTACAATGAGATGTCTTTGATCTAAGTAACTGTAACTGCATTCTTTTGCCCTGTGTATGCCTTCAAACTTACAGATGTAATCCTACATCTAGCCATCATGTCATTTTATTTCAAATGAGCAACAACTTTTTTTAATCAGCTAAGTTAATATGGGTCAAATTAAGTTTTAATTTAATTTGTTTGTCTGATTGATTAATGCTTGTAGTGGATGGGTGAAGGAATTTTTGGATGCTTTATATGCATAAGAAAGTGTTCCATTTCTCAGTGGTGGGCTGAGTGAGTTAGAACAAATGCTTTAAAAAACCAGCAGAAAAAGTGAGAAAGCAAATCCTAACACAAGGGTGTACAATGCTCCTCATTACCATCAACTCTATGTCATGTGGATCTTGGTTTCTACCAGGTTATGCTAAAAGAGGTCTGAATAAAGAATTAATGAGCTTTTCCACCCAGCAAGGCTTTGGTTAACACCCTGTGTGCCATGACAGCCAAAACGCAGGCACTGCCCATAACTGGGGTTGAGGATAAACTCTTTGTGCCCATTTCAGCCTGTGAACTCTGTTACAAGGCTGCCAAAGAGAAAGCTCATCATTCATGGTGAGGATACTTCTCTTCTAGGAGGAGGGCTGTGATCTGCAGTGCATCTCCAGCAGGCTGCCAGCCCCTCTGGTGGCAATGGCTTTAGAACCAGGCTGCAATTAAGCACAGCAGCAGCATTTCCCAGACTGAGGAATGCAATCTCCTCCAAACTGACACAGGAAGGCAGTCTGAACAGCCACATTCCTCCTGTGAGCGTGGGGCCTGGGAGCCCTGCAGCTTTCTGCTGCAGTTTCCAGTTGTGGTGTCCAAATAAACTAAATTTGGAAAAAACCTGCTGTTGAGAACAGAGCCAGCCCCTCTGCTTTCCATTTACTATGAAAAAAAAAAAAAAAAGATAAACATCGTGGAGGAGGCCGAATATACAGTATTTTATCCAGCACTGAGGGGTTTTGGCATCATTTCAAGCAATCCCCCCCCAAGTTAATGGTATCTGTGTGGGCCATTTGGCACAGTGAGGAACTTTACTTCCATAGGGAGCTGCACAAATGTTTTGGGCTGTACCCTCAGCGTTTTGCTAACCAATGGATAGAACAGAAGAACTCTTTTAACCAAGTTTGGGTCCCCTCTAATTGTTACCACTTGCATTAAAGGATCACCTAGAGATTTGTAGTGCTCTATTATACAGGATCCATCTCTCTTGCCAGGCAGTTTGATGTTATGGAAGTCTTGCAGTAAGAACCTTCTGTTTCCTGATGGGGTTGAGATGTAATTAACGAGGCGGTTGCTGATGGCTTTTGACACCATGCTCAGCACGCTGATGTCCTTCACTGAAAAAGCAAAACCAGGTGTAAGTCTTTACTGCAAGAGAAATGCTGATCAGCAGTCAATAACTTCCCCTTCAAAAGCAGGTCAAGAAATGATGTTTGTAATTAATTCATTAATTTCCGTTTAACTCATTTCCCAACGGACTGTGATTAATTAGAAATGTATTGATCTAAGGAATACTTCTCACACAATAGGCAAAAAGTAGTTCCAACAGTCTGCAATGATATTTTACTTTTAGTCACGTGGTTCTTCATAGACCTAAAAGCTGAAAATTCAGATAATGAGTCACATAAAATGTCCTCAACTCACCAGAAAGTAAAACATCTTAAATAATAATAGCTTTTTAAGTGGTAATGCTCAGGTATTGGAAATAAAGCCTCTTTTATCAGAGTCTCACCTGAGAGATAGCTCAACAGCATTTGAAAGATCTCTAATGGCAATGTTTTAAAGTATCCAAGTGTAGACAGAGATTGGGAATCTGTGTCCATAGTGCTGCAGCTCTGTCTGCAGTGATGGTTACTGCCTCTGTGCTTCTGGTTTGGGACGGAGGTGCAGCTGCTCCTCGCAATGGATGTCATTGTTCTGCTGGTCTCACACATTTATCCTGGGGGGAAAACAGGAGAGTCATATTTTCAGATGAGGAAATTATATCCAAATGTAAGAAGAGGAAATAGCTGTTGGCACAGCAATGGAGTGTGAAAATGTTGGTCGGGGTACACTGCATAAATTTTAGTTGGAAAATAGACAGGTTGCAGTAATCAGCAACATTCCTTTGCCTTATCACACAGATTATTCAACAGAATAAATAATAATAAAACAGTGGTAGTGATGTTACGAGAAGTATTCCTGCTTGCTTTAGAGCAATAACTCCATACATGCATGCTTGCATCCGACCAAACCAAAAGATTACAGGTACAAAGTTGCAAACTATCTATCTTCAGCAGCATTTAAGCTGATAGGTGGCTTAATTCAGTATAATAACTATGTGTGGTATACAAAGAAATGGTGGAGTATTGGCTAATTCAGTGACACAGGTCTGGAAAGTAATGAGCTTTTAAAAAGAACTGTGTTTTTGATCTGCCTTCTGGTCTGAGTCTCGAGGGTGGGTGCACTTCAGGCTGTCAAACAACAAGATTTAGTGATTCACTACATCTTAACATTTAACTTTTGTGTGTGTGTGTGTGTTTTTAACACTGTTTCTTGATTCTGACAGATGAGGATTCAGGGAAACTGCCAAAGAGAATGAGTGCTGCTGTGTAATTAGAAGAGCTGGCAGCACTGGTAGTAACACAACTGGAATCTGTCCAAGCTGCAGCGCAACATCCCAGTTACTATCAGTGGGAAACGTGCTCGGAGAATAAGACTTCATTGTTTGAAAGATTAAAAATTTAGCGAAATTACAGAAAACAAGTTCCAAACATCCCTCTTATTTATTGCTGAAGCATGCAAGCCAGGCCTCTCTGCTACACCACGTCCACAATGGAAGCTCTGTTTGCACTGGAGGAACACGGGGCATTCGGTGGCAGTGTTACAGATGGGTTCTGCTGTCAGTGTGAGGAAATCCTATTCTGCTGGAAACATTTTTAGTTGAGCTATGTTACAATCTTAGCGAAGACAGCTTATATTTTGTAGCCCCACAACCGTCAGAAGCAAATGTATCTGCACCGGAATGAATGTTTCGCTTGGCTTTGCTTAAGCAAAAGATAGAAAATGGAGGCAATTTCCAAGAATCCTGTAAGAACCTTCAAGAAATCACCACAGATAAACAGAAAAGCTCCTCTTTGCTTCCTCTCTGGCTCGACTTGGTTTTTATTTCTTAGGGAATTCAGCCAGAGTGGTGCAATGGTCTGTGTACCTCCATCTGCTGCTGGGACTCTGCTTGTTTAGAGAACTGCTTAATGGAGACTGGAAATTGAAAGGTAAACGTTAAACATTTAACAAGCTCAACCCATAGCACTGTCCAGGCAGGTTCACCTTATTTGTTGCTATAACCTAATTTGTTTACAAGGCAGAAAGCATCAACTTCCTATCTTCTATACAACCTTCCTGGTCCGTTAGCAGTCGCTAAATTCCTGCTAATGGACGCCCGTCGGATATTTTCCTGAGCCCCCCGTTAGCCTTTGGCAAACACTAATTACAAAAGCTTGTTTACTTTTGGGATTGCTTTGGATCCTTTCCCTTCCCCTCACTCACAGCGACATAAAATCAATCGCCTGAAATATTAGCAGGAATTTACTGCTTTTCCCTGTGTGGAAGTGCGTGAATTCAAGTGAGGAAAGGCAAAAAAAACCCTCTTGGGTGTCAGTGCTGTTACCCAGCGGCCCAGACTGACGGCTCACAGGTTCGTATTGGTGCTGTTTGAGCACTGCAATTAACAGCCCAATTAGCGAGCGGCTGATGAGAACTGTGAGGGCGGCGATGTGGAGCGACAGTGCGGGAATCGCTACGGGAGCAAGAAAACACCCACTTCTCTCATTATTATTATTACTGCTGTTGGTACGGGGGTGAATTTTTGTCCGTTTGCGGTGCTGGCTGGGTTTTGCTCGGCCTTTTATTGCTGCTCCTCAGGGCCCCGAGGCGCAGCGCAGGCCGCAGGGCTCCCACAGCGCAGAGCTTCCTCACACAGCTGGCGGGGAAACGAACCGCTTTATTCACACATCTAAAGGCGTTCTGTCGGAGCCCTGGGCCCGGTGTGGGGCTGTGCTACACGGGTTGTGCCTGCGTGCTTCGGTGTTTGTTTATTCGTAAACACAAAGGTAGATTTGATGTATCTGTAGGCCCAGCTCAAACACTTCCCATCTCAGGGCGCCGGTTCTCTGTAAGGCCAGCTTTGTAACGCCAGGCGTTTCAGAGGGCGCTGAAGCGTTTTATTGTAGCTTTTCGGAAGCGTTGGCCATAATCCTCCCCTCCTAATTGCGCTAATTGCAGGCGGGGATGACTTTCCCGCCTTTTCCCCTCAGCAGCGCAAACCCCTCTGGAGCCCTTCCCGCCCTTTCGGCCACGCCCTCTGTTTGATTCGAGGCCACGCCCCCTCCAGCAACGTTCCCGCTTGACCACGCCCTCTCATGAATAAGCAAACATTTCAATGCATAGTCCTCTCGCGTGGCCACGCCCCCTCATGAATAATCAACACCCAGCAACTCAACGTCGTCTCACGTGGCCACGCCCCCACCCTCATGAATATTTATTACCATGTAGCGCTACGTCTGCTTACGTGGCCACGCCCCCTTATGAATAATCAATACCCCGTAGCACGACGTCGCCTTAGGTGGCCACGCCCCCTCATGAATAATTAACGCCGGACTGCCGTTGAGCCTCCATTTCAGAGCTCAGCGCCATGAGGCGGCTCGGTCCGTGCGGTTCCCAGCTCCCGCAGCGGGCCGAGGAGCCCTGCCAGGGTTTTCTGGTGGCTGCGGATGCGTGCTGCCCTCGTCTCGGCCCCAAATTGCAGCGGGTGGCTGCTGTGAGGCCCAGTTGCGTCCCCCAAACGCACCACGTGCGTCCCTCGCAGGCGGTTGTTGGGTTCGGCCGTAGCAGCAACGCGGCACCGTCCGCCCCTGCTGACAGCCTTCCCTTCGCTGGGGCTGCAGGGGTTACAAACCGCCCTATTGCGTGTGCCGCAGGGCACGGTGCTGCTGCGCGGACGGGGAGCCGCATGAGATGCTGTTTCGTTGGAGCAGCGAGCCGTGCTCAGCGACAAACTGATGCTTAGTGTTATTTCTTCTTAGGGCCGTCTGGAAACCCGCATCTCTCGGGGGGGGAGGGCGGCTGGAGCCCTGGGGAGGCGCCTTGCTGCTGCTCCTTCCCATACGATGGCAGCAGAGGGCTGCGGCTGCTTTAGTGCTGTTCTCCCAACGTGCTGACACGGTTACGTGTTGTTTTGGGTTTTTTTTTGGGGGGGGGAGGTGTTGGTTTGTTGTTTCTTTTCCTCTAGAACTGTATTTGAATCGTAAGGGTTAGAAAAGAGCTCTGAGATCGACCACGGGACCCCCAGCCCCTCACCGTCTCAAAGCAGTTCTAAAATGGTGGCTGTTCTCCAGCTAAGCAGGTCCTGACTGCGAGATAAAGAGAACCGAAGGGTTAAAATAGTGACACAGCTGCATTTGAGGGATGCCCCACGTGTCCATTTGCACCGGTGCTGCTCGGGGTGGATACGGAGTTCCTTTCTTCTGCTGTGTCTTTCTGGAGCCTGGCAATGGCTTAAGGGCATCTTATGTCCAGCTATTTAATGACTGGCTTAATTAACGATAGCAACGGTGGCACCGGGTCTGGAAATGAAGTCGTGTTGTGTGGTGACGGTGTTATCTCGTGTTTGTTTTACTCTGGTTGAGTGAGTCACGGCGCTGTTGGTTTTCCTTATTATTTGAGGTTCTGTAATCCCAGCCCGTGTTTGTAAGCTGCTTTGGGCTGACGGGATGAAAGCTAATAAGGAAAAAGTACAGCTGAGCTTTGGAAAGGAGGGTAACGGTGCTGCTGGAGTCATGGGAAGCTGCGAGGCGGATGGGAATGCTGCGTTCAAATTGTTAAATTCCTTCATCCGTGGTGGGCATGGTCTGAATTTTTGGCCCCAGAAAAACAGGGCAGTTCTCCATCATTGCACGTTCAAGGCAAACGCCGCAGAGCCTTTGATAATTATCAGTATTTAAACACATAACCAGGTGCAAATCATCTGGTTAGCTGGGGATCCCTGAGCAGGAAAGCGTTGGTGCTTCAGGGTGGGATGATAGAAGCAATTAGCAGGGGGTGGTTGGTTCATGCAGCTCTTCTGTGCGGTGTGCAAGGATGGCGGGGGGACGGAGGCCCTGTTTTGTACAATGCCTTCAATGAATTCACATTACCCGTCCTCCTGGGTCTGCGGTTCTCTTTGAAGGCAGATGAATGGCACATGTCTGAGAGGGGCAGTGCTGTGTGCGTATCCCAGGGTCCTGGCCCAGACCTCTGGAGCTGTTGGATCTGCTGAGAAGATGAATTCTGATAATGCAGCGTCCTGTTTTCATGTTATCTTGCTTACAGAACGCGGCAACATGGATGGGATTTGTGCAGAGGAATTTAAAGAAACAAAGAGAAATGGAAACAAGACAAAATAGGTAAACAGAAAACAAGTTACGAGTATTTACTTAATGCATTCCATGCACTGAGTGGTGGAGGTGACACCTGGCCTGGTGCTCTGTGTGCTGCATCATCCACGTCCTCACTGCAATGTCAGAAGAGTGGCATCCTGTTGACACTTAGGGCTACAGAAAAGCATAACAGAGCCTTCTCACTGCGTGGAATTTCCATCTGTCCTTGTTCGTTGCTGGGTTTTAGGTGCCTTAGTCTTGGGGCTTGTGAGGAAGGAGGGCAGGAATGGGTTGAATGCCAGGACTTGCCATTTTCTCCTTCTCTCTTCTACCTCGCTTTGGACAGTGATTGCAGCTGAGAGGAGTTAATAATGCTCTGTCCCCCTACAGTGCCTTTCAGCCAAGGGTCTGGAGCTGCTCTGTGTGCCTTAAAGCACGGAGCTGCTCAAGGAGCCTTTGGAGGAGAGATTCCCTCACCCAAACAGAGCAGGCAGGAGGGCTGAGGGTTTCCTCGGGGTCACTTGGAAGCAGCGTGGCAGCCCTGAGCTGAGTGTTCAGGTAGAGGAAACGGGCTGAGAGAGGACGAGGTGGATGCAGAAGGGCTCAGGTTTGTCCCCTCTGCGTGTTGCTCATCCTTGGTTGGATATTTGGGATTTGCCTCACACCTCAGCATTCCCTGAGCTGGTCTCTAAGCCTTCCAGTCTGCTCCTTCCCTAGAAATAATCTTTATGTTATTCCCATCTTTGGCTTTTCTGCATCTTCCCTGTTTGCAGAGAAAAAGAGAAAGTGCACAAAAAAAAAAAAAAAAGAGAAGTGGATTACCAGGAATTAATTAGCATCTCCAATCGTGTTCCTTGGGTTTTCTGAAGAGCTGAGCAAACCTGTCAGTGTGTAACTGGTGCTCTTCCTTTCTGTTTCTTTTTAAGATGCAGCGTTCAGCCCCAAACAGATGGGAACCTGTCAGCACAACATGGAGATAATTATCCATTCGAGCCATGGGAAGCTTCATGGCTGAGAGGAAGTTATTGCAGCCAATACAGCTCTGCTTTATCATCTTAGCAGGTTTTTTTTGGACAGAGCACGTTGGTGAGTTCCATTATTCCTTTGAAGAAACACCAAGAACATCCTTGTTTCCATAGGGGGTGCATTGGTGATGTAGGAAATTGTTCTTCTGTGGGTGTTTGGGTGGCATTTCAGGAAACGCTCCATTATGGCAGTGCAGTGCTGGGAGGTTCTTGTCCTCCCTCTGGAAATGAGAAACAGAACCCATTTGCTGGTAAAGAGAAGAGAAAGTGTTCTTCAGACCCAGGAGGAGGTGGTGAATCTCAAAGTTCCACATTACACCTCAGTCTGGAAGGTTACCTTGGTCACACCTAGCTCTGTTCTTCGCTTCTGAGCCATCTCTGCTGCCACGTTAAATTACTGCCTCGTGTCTCTGCTTCATTAGTGCTGCTGTGCTCCGTGGCAGAGCCCAGTGCAGCTCCCCAGGCAGCAGGGAGATGTGCTGCAGGCATTGCTGATACAGGAGCCTGGCATCTTTCTGGGTGAAACACGCAGCAGAAATATAACAGCTGCGGTGGGAGTGATTTTTGTGTGAGATGGGTGTGAGAGAGGTCAGCATCTTTAGTGATGCTCTTCATTACTGAAAACAACCCCTACCCATGCACACGTGTTGATCTCTGTTTAATGTTGGTTCCCTTTTGTGGGGGTTTAGAAAGAGCTGAATTCCCAGTGGGTTTTTTGGGGTGATGGAAACAGCCACCTTCTGGGATGGGCACACGAGTGATGCTCGCTGTCACCTAAGCAAGTAATACTTTTCCCCTTGAAAAGCAAAGTACTTACAAGGGTGGTTTTATGTTAGTATTACTGCTAGCAAATCTACCATTTGTGAGAAAGGAAATTATTCCCATTCCTGCTTTCTAGATAAGGAAACTCAAATCACAGGCGTTTGATACGAAGCAAGGACCTCAGGAGCCCTAATATTCCCAGCTGTAACCAGAGCTGAATTCTGTGGCTCTTGCAAAGTGCAGCTCCAGATCTGTGCATCTATTCAGGGTTTCATTCCCCCACCCACGGGCCCTTTTGTAGCAATCTGCTCCCTGCTTGCTTCCAGAGCTATTAATTATGGCTCAGCCTGCTCAGTACCTGAGCTGACATTTGCATTTCCAACATACGAACCCTTGTTTGTTTGTGGAATGGCTGAAGTATTTTTTCCCTGCTTTGGGGGTGATGCTTGGTGTGAAAGCTGTTTGTTTAGGAGAGCTGATTTTTTTTACATTTCCCCCTTATTTGCATATTATAAAGTATTTGCTCGCTGTCTGTGTTCCAATTATAAATCTGCTACTTCTCTGCTCATAAAAATAACCAGGATTGGTGGAGTTCTTTGATCACATTTAAGCTCCCTGATGGCTGTATTGTGTGAGCACTGTTCTCCCAAAGCTGGAAAAGGCACCTGGGGAGGGGGATGAAGAGGATGGGGGGCATGGGAAGGTTGGTTCATAGCCTTCCTGTTAATCCACGGTGTTGATTTGTTCTCCTGTGCAGCAGTGAAGGGAGCCCAGAGCTGGAGGTGGGAACCAGAGCTCTCAGGTAAGGGATTTTTAAGGTGATTTGCATTTATGGAATCGTTTGGTGCTGGGGCAGAGATCAAAACACTAAACCTGACTGGAGGAAGTCAAATGGAACAGGCAAATCTCATTGTTTGAGCTGAAAAGGCTTCTAAAATCCTCAGCAAGTTGAGCAGATAAAATTAGAAGAAAATTACAGCCTTGGTTCAAACCTCAATTACAGCCCTTGTTATCCTTGATATGTCCTGGGAACACCTCCTGATAAGATGTGTTATTACTGAAACCCAAATGCCTTTAGAAAAAGGTCTTTGTATTCTTACAGTGGCCTTTAAGAGCACACAGGATGAAAATAATTCAGGCTGAGCTTCAAAGTCTGCATAAACATAAGCAATAATCCTTAATTTGAAAACAAAGCAGTCCAAAAAGGAAGATTATTTTTTTTTTTAATATTAAGACTATATTCCATGCAGATAATCCACAGTAAATACATTGCATTGAAAGACAGATAAAGTGCCTTTAGTCCCCCTAAAGAGTCCGACTGTGCTGTAAATTCAAGTATGTGGAAGGCAGGCCTTCAGTTATTGAGAGAAGCCGTGATGGGAAGGTTCTGGTTTTGCTTTTCCTGGTTATCCTCCTGTGTTTTTGCTTCAGTACCTGAGGGCAGGATGAACCCCTATCCCAGAGTGGGGATGGGATGCACAGGGCCAGCAGGAGAGCAGTGCTGGTAAAGACATTTCTCTCTTTCTTCTAGGCAACAGCAACATGAGAGCTGGGTTTGAATGGAACAAACCAACTCTTCCATGGCAGAGCCACGTGCAAAGGAAATGCAGGAGACCCCTGCTGACTCATGGGTGTGAGCTCCGAGCACCCAGAGCTCATGGAAGGTAGGATGGGTGGCACAGCACGGCGAGCTGAGCGCTCCCTGCCAGGACCCCAACCTCTGCCCAGGGCATCACTGCAGGCACAACCTCACTGCTCTGCCCCACACTGACAACACAGAGCACAGCCTGCTTGGTTTCTTTGCTTTAAGGAGGAAAAAAGAAAAAAAAACTCACAAATGAACCCCTCAAAATAAAGCCTTTCTGACTGCAGGCACTCAGAACTTGACGTCTATCCCGCAGTGCACTGCACGTGTCTCAATCATTTCTATGCTATGGCACTTGGATGTTGTTTTTTCTCCACCTGAGTATCTGATCCTCTTTGGAACCCTTTTAAGATTCTGGCTGCAGCGATGCAGCAGTGATTTATACAGCTCCATTGCACTCTGTTTAAAGTCTCTTTTCTTTTAAGCATGCAGCATTGCGGATGTGTTGGATGTTACCTCGCATCTTAGAGACTGTAGGGGAAGAGGAACACCTATAAATCTTGTTGTTGTTGTGTATGCATGTCAAGAAAATCACTAGAAATAAGGCCATTATTTGAAAAGGTGGAAATGCAGAGAAAATTCCTTACCAGCTCATAACCATCCGGGGCAAAAAGTAAATGACAGCATTCCTCTGAATTGTTTCTACTTCAGGGAAACGGGGGAACAAACCACCTTCCCATCGAAAGCTTTACTTGGAAATAAGGTTTATCTTCAAAATATGTCTAAAGAGAGACTGCCTGGGTCGTAACAACTTGGCACGACCCAGCCTGACTTACCCTGTAAAAGCATTTGCTGCCTTTATGCCATAATAAGATGCAGCGAAAGTCTCCCTCGTGGCTACGTATGAGGAAGTATAATCTAGGGTCTAAATGCCACAAAGCATCCATATTTATCTTTAATGGCTATATAAATTCAGCAGATGAGAAGGAAAACATTAATTAGACAGACCCTGCCTTTGGCAGCGATCACCATCGGTGACAGCTGAACCAGCCAGTGGATGAAATATGCTTCAAAGATGATATCAGAATAAATAACAGAGGATCAAAAGATAAGGGAAAAAAAAAAAACAAAAAAAAAAACCATATAACCAATGCTCTTTTTTTTTTTTTTGGTGGGAGGAAGAAAACTTCACCTGACGTCGGACATTGGCTCCTCTCTTTTTTCATGCCACCTCTCCCCAGTTTGGGACCCAGGCCTGCACTGATGGCTGTGGAGGCAGGGTGAGCATTGGTGCAGCTTGCCATGAGCTGGATGAGAGCAGAGCTGCCTGGGAGGCGCAGAGCTGAGCCCCTGAGTGAGGGTCGGATTCTGGAATCACGGTGTTGGTGTCAGTGCAGACCAAGGGCCCATCACTGATGCAGCAAAAAGAAGTCATAGGAAATGCACTGACTTCAGCAGACTTGAAATACGAGGGTGTTAACGAAGCATTTCTCAGATTTTCAGTGATATCAAGGCACGTATGCCTTCATTACTTATTATGGGAAGCACCCGTGAGTGAGCCTGGGTTTTCCTCTGGGTGTCAGCATGGCAGAGCTCTGTCCCCATCCTCTGCCTGCAAAACCTCCCCTGCTCCTGCTGGACGTGTGGCCGTGCCATGAAGATGTTTGGAAGGAACAGAAGATATTGTTGTTTTTTCCCTCCAGCCTCTGGTTCCTTTAGGGTAGGAGTCACAGCTTGTAACTAATTGGATGGCAGAAGGTGCCTCAGAGCCAATGGCTCACAAACATTCTGAAGGCGAATCCTTAGGAAGGTTTTACTCTTCGAATAAAACAGGTTTTCCTTTCTTCCAGAGCAGAGAAGAGAAACTGGTGCTTGGTTGAGAGAGAAAAGAGCCCCGACTGCTTTTCCTCCGTGCTCCATTGGGTCTTTTTCCTCGACTTGCTGTTTCTTTTCCACCGGGGGAAAGACTTTGCAATCAGATAACAGAGCACTCGAGTCGTGGCAGGTCAGAGGTGCAGGGAGAGAGGTGCTCAGCACTGCTCTGCCTCCACAAAGCCCTCCTTCTCATGGCTGGCTGCCTCCACCTCGGCGTACGTGGCGTGGTTGGTGTGATTGCGGAATTTCATGGCAGGCCAACGATGTGGCCTTCGCTGCGGATGGGAACAAAAAGCCATCAGAAGCTGTGAGCAGCATTTGAAGCCAAGCCTGCTGGAAATTCAAAGCTCAGCCCCGAAACAATGCTATCTTTGTGAAAGTTCGGAAAAGGGGGGGAGAAAAAATGATTTATGCTTGAAAGAGTTTGTTACAGTGCATCGGTCTCGCTGATAGGGTTAACAGAGGGAGCTGGGTAGAAATGGAAACTGGAAGGGAGATCCCACATCAGTGCCAGAACAAGGATGTGCTGTTATGGGGAACAGATGGGGCGGCCACAGAGGGTCACCCCTGCACCTCTCCCCCATCTGCAGCACAGGCACTGCATCCTGGTTGGGTGCTGCAAGGATAAATGCACCAAACGTTGTAATAAAGGCCACGGAGATTGATCCTTTGCAGCTGGGACGGATGGAGGAGAGATGAGTGCTTGAGGAAAAAAGGCAGTGGGTGACAAGGAGAGGTGAGGGCTCTGCATCGCAGCTCCCATGCCAGGACTCAGCCTGCTGCTGCCCTGCACCGCGCGCTCCTCGGGCTTTTAGCAGCAGATGGAGATTGTCAGACCCCCCATCTTCCTGAGAATTAAAATCTGCCATTTCGAGCATTCACACCACCACTGCCACAGCAGCTGATGGCACGACATCTATCAGCAAAGCCTGACAGTTTTAGTCGACAAAATCCAGCTGGGCAACCGAAAAGGCAGCAATCCCAGGCAGGGGAGCTGCTGGTGTGAGCAGGCAGGAGAGGCTGAGATTGAATGGGGAGAAAAGGCAAGGTGTGAATGGGAGCACATGAGAGCACAAAGCACAGCAGTGTGGGTGGGAACCAGCCTAAGTTTAAAGCGTTTGGGACGTGGCTGTGGCTGCAGGACAACGCAAAGAGCCTCGGATGTGCAATCTACCCACATCCTCTCCTCTGTGCTCTGCTCTGGAGGGTTGGGATGGGGCCAGAGGAAGGTTCCCTGCTCACCTCGATGAAGAAGAGGGCGGCGTTGGAGGTGGGGTGGCTGTTGATGTAGATCCCAGCGAGGATGATGGCTGCAATGAGCAGCACGGCCAGCACGATGCCCACGATCGTCCCGGTGTGAATCGGGGCACCCACTGCATTGGGAGGAAGGTCACTTCCCACACCTGCAAAAAGGGTTCAGCTGGGCTTAGAAGTGGGCTGAGGGCTCAGGAAAAGCAAGGCAGGATGCTTGGAGACCTGTGTGTAGGGCTGAGCACCGAGCCTGGCTCAACAAGAGGGCGAGATGCATGGGCTGAGCTCCAGCATCCCTCCTAGATGATACCAATAGCTGGCAAAGAAAGAGGATTAAACGATGACCACATAATATTTCACCCCTCCATCCAATCCCTATCCCTTATACATTGGCTGCTCACTCACACAGAAAGCCATTAGCCATATGCTGAGAGCTCCTCAGCACCTCACCCACAGCCCTGCAGCTCACCCCGGCCCTCAGCTATGGACACAGAGCTCCAGAGCTCTGTACATGGCATAGATCAGCAGTGACATTACCAGCCATTCGGGGAGCAATTTGGCTGAGCCTGGGAAGCTCATGCATTTCAAAAGCCCCGTGCCTGCACTGGCACTGATGCTGCACCCACTTGTTAGCCAATTTAACATCCAGGAGCTGCTTGCAATGAAGAGGGCTGGGCTCTTCGGTTGCAATTCAGGGGAGCAGAGATGGAAGAGGCAGAGCTGGGCTCACAGAAAGGACACCTTGTGTTTGAACTTCGCAGTGCCCTTTAGCACAGCTGGGGAAATTCAGAAGGAAAAGGACCTGGTGTAAAAGCTGCAAAGAAAGGGAATTGCATAGAAAGAGAAGGTCCTCCTTCACCAAGAAAAGTGGGAAGTGCAGACAAAGGCATCAGGGTAAAACAGATCAGCCCCAGCTCTCACATTACACAACCTGAAGCAGTATTCATCAGAGGAAGGACAATCAGATTCTTATCTTGATTGCATCTTTCCAGTCCCCATTTCACCCTGCTGACTGATCACAGCTCCCCAGGCAGAGACACGACGGTGCCTTACCTTCACTGCCTGCGTGCTGGTTGAGCTTCGTGTCGTCTGAAAGAAGAAATGGAGGGCAAAAATAGCTAACAGCCTGCTGAGATGCTCTCTGTGCTTCCCCCCTCACTCCTCTCCATACTGCAGCACTGCCAGCACCCACCCCCAGCATTTTCAAACGAAGGGAGAGAAGGACCCCCCCCAAGCAATAAAACACCACCATAGGCTCACACTGCTTGGCATCCCTTCCTTCACAGAGGTGCCACCTGCAGCACAGACACCTGGGGAGCAGCCCTTGAACCCAGCAAGGCAGAGCAACGAGGGGAACTGGGCTGACTTGGCTGCACTGCTGACACTCCCCACCCAACCTGGGGGGCTCTGCTGCCCCACAGTTGTTTCTCATGGGGGTCCAACACTCAGTCCCGTTTTCCCTCTCATTCAGGAGCCACCAGGCTGCACAAAGACGGGGCTCAGCCCCCCGTGAGCTGTGGCTCAGCACTGCAGATCTGGGACTCTCCAAAGGACGCAGGGTGGGAGATGCAGAGGGGTGGGGACCCATCCTCATCATCCCTCCGCTGCGCTGCTCCCATGGAATTCGCTGCCCGACGCAGCTGGCTGTTTGTTTGCTTCCAAGATTACAAATTAACTTCATGCTTGACTATGTCACAGAAAGGCTCTTGTTCCTTTTCCAAGAATCGCCGTGGAGTTGGAAAATAACCAAATAATCTCAGTGCTGGGGTTGCGTTCCCCCCTCCTTCCATTGCTCCTATCAAAGTCAGCTCCATCAGCCCCGCACCCCCCCCCCCCCCCCCCCCCCCCCCCCCCCCCCCTCAGCTCCTTCCCCATCGCTGAAGGACAATTACTAATGTTCCTTTCTATTTATTCTAATTAGCAGTTTGCAGTTAGGGACTATTAAGCAGCAAAATTGAAGCGATACCTGCGGAGGAGCGAGCCCTGCGTTAATGGGATTATCAAGCTTTAGCACAGGGGCGTCTCGGGGGAAATGGGGGGCCTTTATTTGGAGCTTATTTGAGTGCTCCCAAGCAATCACACAGCTCTGCTGCACCACTGCCAGCCCCAACCCTCGGAGCATCATCATCCCACCTTCTGTAGCGAGGCTGTCGATGAAGAGGGAGGCCGTGGGGGTGGTGATGTCCTCATCCAGCGGCGAGGAGGAGCCGTCGGGGGGGGGCGAGTAGTGATTGTCCTCTGCTAAGTCCTCACAGCTCTTGGCGTCTGCCTGGGGGGGACACAGCAGGGCTGGAGGCATCGCCGTGGGGCTGGAGAAGGATTGGGAGGATGGATAGAGGCCAGAAGGGGCAGAAATTGGGGTGTGGGAGAGGTTTGGGGGGCAGCGGTTTGGGGGAGGTGGTGGAGGTTTGATGGCAGCCTGTCCTGCTTGCATCACAGGCCCTCAGCATCCCGTGACCTCCTGTTCCCTCTCTCTTGGTAAACAGAGAACGAGGATGAGTGTTCAGTGGGGGAAAATGGAAAAAATATATATTATAAAAAAAAAAACAACAAAAACCACCAAAACAACAAAACACCAAAGCAGAAACAGATGTTTGGTTAGATCTTTCCAAGAGAAAGAAACAACGTGGAGATGTGCTGACAAGGACACACACACACAAAATATCAAATCCTAAAGGCCGACTCCTCCTTTCTTAGAGGGGATCAGAGTCACAGAATCACAGAATTGCCAGGGTTGGAAGGGACCTCAAGGATCATGAATCTCCAACCCCCTGCCACCAACCATCCCACCTAATGCTACACCAGAGTCACATGTAGGGAGGTGAGGAGCAAACAGTGTTTGCCCGGGGGGGTGGGCACAGCTGGGGCATCTCTGGGCTCTGCCCATGGAGGAAGGGGGGATGTCTGCTATGCATGGACATCCTGTACCAGGGCAGGGCAACCTGAAGGGATGCTCTGTGCATCCTGGGGCCAAGCAGAGCTCAGAGTGCGTTTTGGCACTGGGTTGTGCCTGCTGTCACCCAGCCCCATTCCCAGCATGATGCCCCAGCCCTACCTGCTGGGCGCAGCCATAGGACAGCCACTCCTCACGGTGCCGGTCGAAGCCACTGGAGCACCTGCAGTGAAAGGGGACATTAAATCCCAGCAGGTGGGATGCAGAGCAGCAATGGAGTGAACAGCAGTGCACATCTGCTGCTCTGCTGCAGCCCCTGCGAAGCCCAGCAGTGCCACAGCAGCAGTGAGAGGAACGGCGCAGTGGAAGGGTTACATGCAAGCTGTTGGGATTCCAGTGCAGCTGTGCTGGAAGGACCCAAACGTTCCTCCTTACGGAGGTGGAAAATGGTCAGCGCTGCTTCTCCAAGGAAAACAGAGAAGCGGAGAGATAGGAAAAAGATACAGAGACAGTGTGAGTTTCCATTCCCTGCGCTCTGCGCCAAGGCTGCGAGCTCCAAAAGGGTTTGTTTGTGGTTGGTTTTTTTTTTTTTTTCCCTTTCCCCAGAAACATCTGGGCAGGAAAAGCACATTAAAGAAGTTATAAATGGTGTGAGGGAAGCACCAGCCACAGAAACAAGGGCTGAGCCTTTGGGAGCCCCTGGGCAGCGAGCTGTGTCACCATCCCATGGGTGATAAGAGCAGAGCCAGCGAACTGCACGAGGTGCCCCCAGCCCTCCCCTGTCCCTGCTGAGGCCTCATGGAATCACTGCACGTGTGATGGGCGCACAGCCAGGATGCAGCCTGAGCAGGGCTGGGTGAAGCAGCCCCTGCACTGTGCACGAGGATCTGTGTTAGTGGGTCCCCTCCCCTGCTGCCAGCTCTACATTCCAATGCTGCACAGCCTCGTTGTGGCTCTCCTGCTGTGGCTGAAGGAGGGCAGAGCAGCGTCCCAAGGGTTGGGGGCTGTCCCCATGGCTGGGGGGCACCGCAGTCCCTCGATGTCTGGGACCTGAACCCCACCTGGTCAAAATCCCAACCCCAGCATGGAGTGAATCCCACCCAAACCCCACTGACATCAGCGTCCATCCATCCCACTGCTGTCCCAGCTCCGCACCACCGCCCTGGGACTGAGCCCCACCCTCGGGAAGCAGCTCCTCTAAGTTGTGCCCTGAGCTCAGACCACCACCAAACCACTGACCGTGAGCCACTGCCAGCATCACTCCAACAAAAAAAGGAAAACCACTAAAAACCCTTCAGCAACAGCAGAGATCAGCCCTGCAGCTCAGAGTGCCCTCCTGGCTACAGGAACATCTCCAGCAAGAGGAGAGGCAAAAGTGACCCATGCCAGTACCTCTGCAGGACGTGGCACCAGCTGCAGTTGAAGGTCAGCGTGGAGCTCACACACAGCTCACAGCTCCGGTGCTGGAGACAAGCTGCAGAGAGAGCACAGCAACAAGCTGGAGGTGTCTGCAGCACACGGTGGGACCGGGCTGCTCCCAGCCCAGCAGTAAGCATCCTCCCCTCCGTGGTGACCCCAGGACAGATGTACTTCCTGCTCCATATTCATGGACTGCTCCCCCCCACGTGTGTAGATGTGAGCACTAAGAGCGTGTCTGCTCAGCAGGATGCTGGAGCCACACAGCACCCACAAAGCGCCCCGTGGGACAGCCCCAGTGCCACCCTGCCCCCATGGCTTACTGGGCAGCGGGGTGAACTCCACAGCAGACATGTTGGTGATCTTGCTGGTGTCCAACTCCACTCGGTGGTACTCATAGATGGTCCGGCGGCGCGACTCTGCAGCGGGAGCTTTGCTTTAGGTGTGAGCCCCCCCTCGGCCACCCCCTGCCACTGGGGTTCTTCCTGTGGGACAGGGCAGCAGGGGAGGCCGAGCGGCAGCACTGTGGGGTCAGGGTGGAAATCCCCTTCCTCACTTCTCCATGAGCAGCTAGGAGCTCTCTGCTCCCTCTCCCCAGAGGACTCCAGGGGGGATGCATCCAGCCCCGCACAGCCCATCCCCATCCCTGCCTCCCTTCCAGCTCCGTTCCCTCCCGCATCCCTCAGTGCTCCCCAGGAGCCCACGGGAAGGGGGGGCAGCATCCCCTGAGGCTTCCATGCAAACTGCTGTGAATGGGTAATAAACGAGGGCCAGATGGTTGGCTCCAGAAATAACGAGCAAAGCGTGGCGCGGGGCGCAGCACGAGGAGCGTGGTTGGGTGTACAGGAGGGGAAGGGAGAGGATGCAGCAGCCCTTCCATCCCGCTCGCCCCGTGCCTGGAGCGTGTGTCACGTGTGGGACACGTGTGCAGACACGTGTGTGTGCTGCGTCCTGCTGGCACTGGAGCTCACATCACGTGCAACAAGTGTGCACACACATGCATGTGCTGCGTCCTGCTGGCATGCAGCGTGCATTTCCCAGCCCAGGGCTGCGTGGTGCATGTGCTGTGCTCGGGGCGGGCAGCACCCCAAGCTGCTCATCTCATCCCTCTGCACTCCTGTGGGTGCTGCTCTGCCCCAACCTCGCAGCTGGATGCCCGCAGGGTGATTGCAGCTCACATGCAAGAAGCGCAGGGTCTGTGGAGCACAGCACCCCTGGGCCAGGGCTGCAAGCTGGGGAGGAGCACAGTGCATTTAACCCAGGGGATGTGGGACGCAGGGGAGGAGATGGCACTCACCAGGCACCTCGGGGGATGGGTTGAGGACCATGAAGGCATCAGACAGCCCAGCCTTGACGGGGTGCTGCGCAGCGCTGATCTGCAGGACGGGCACTGGGATCTGCACAGGGTGAGGGTGAGATGAAGACGGCCCCACTGAACCCCACAGCACCTCAGTCCCCAGACCCGATCTTCTGTCTCACCTCCTTGTACCCGAAGACGATCCTGCCGCTGCTGTGCAGGGCAGCCTGGAAGGTGAAGCTGCCCACGTCCTCCTTGCCTTGGAGGTAGACCTTGTCCCACTGTACCACAAAGACCGTGCCTGGGGGGACACCACAGTGGATCACTCCTCTCACCTCTCCTCACCCTGCGTTGATCCCCAGGCCGTTTCCCCACACCCTCACCCCTCTCTTTGCTCCAGGAGGTGCTCACCATTATCCAGGTACTGCACGGTGGAGTTGCGGGAGTAGCTGGGGTTGAAGTTGGCCATGAGCGGTGCGATGTACTGCGTGGCCGTCAGCATGCGGTGGATGACGTCCCCCATGAAGATGAAACCTGAGCGAGCAGAGCAGAGGGGTCAGCTCAGTGCCTGTGCCCAACCCCGGGTCCCTGGCCCCACTCACCTCCAGTTGCTATCGTCACCTGCCGCAGGAGATGCCCGTAGAAGGGGAAATCGAAGGAGAGGACGATCCTCTGCAGGAGGGAGATGGGGTGAGGACAGCATCCAGAAAAGGGGAAAGCTGATGGGGATGCTGGGCACCCCCAGCTCGGAGCAACCACCGAGGCTGGCACACGGAGGGCTGGGAGGGAGCACCCCACCCCCACGGCTCATCCCCTTCCGCCCCACAGCGATGGGGCTGGGGAGAACCAAATGCCTCCCCTAGGATACGGGGCAGCCGCTGCCGCCATGGGAAGGATGGATGGCAGCTGGGACCCTCCTGGCTCACCGAGGCCTGCCGGTGGGTGTTGGAGAGGATCCCGTGGACCTTCACGTGGCTGCTGTCAGCTGCTGCCATGTCCACCCACAGCCCCTGGCGGCGTGCAGCCCCCGGCCCGTAGGTGCGGGACACGTAGTAGCTGTGGTTGTCCTCCTGCAGTGGGGAACAGGGACAGAATCAGCAGCGTGTAGCTCCGCAGGGATGCAAAACACACGGGCACCATCTCAATGCAGAGCGATGGAACTGGAACAGAAACGCCCCGTGCGAAGCAGTGCAGGAGCTGAGCAGTTGGAGAGGAGTGGAGGAACCACGAGTCCGACGCAGCGCTGGCAGGAGGGAGATGTGACTCATGAGGGACTTCAGCACAGCAGATGCAGCCTTCCTGGGAAGGAATAGCTGCTTTGGAGCCAGGGGCTGGGAGCTGTGGCTGCAGTGACCGCAAGAAGAGGAGCAAATAAAGGCACCAAAGTCTCCAAAAGTTTCCAACAGCCAATCCTGGTGCCAGGCAGCTCAGGGATGGGAAACGGAGGCACAGGGATGGCTGTGCTGGAAGCTCTGTGTCCCAGTGCATGGGACGTGTGGCTTTTGGGACCCCAGGATGTGGGGTGTCCAGGGGCTGAACCCCCCACACAGAGCCCCACAGCCAGCAGATTCCAGTGCATTCCCAGTAACCCAGGGGGAAGGAGCTGGGATGGAGCGGAGGAGCTGGGGCAGCACAGAGCATTTGGCTGCTGAGTTCCTGAGCTCATCGCTGAGTCACCAGGATGCCCGAGCCCACCACCTTGCTTTGGTCACAGCAGCAATTAGGAGGGAGTTTGGATGCTCAGTCACATGGAAACTCACTGAGCTGCTGCACCCAGAGCCTGCATTGCTTGGGGTGAGGTGCAGTGACCCCAAACCCACGCAGCCCCAGGAAATCCCCTTTCCAGAGCCACGCAAGCAATCACACCCTTCCCAGTCAGGATTTGGTGGTTTAGGGTTTTTTTTTTCTTTCTATTTTTTTTAAACACTTCCACTCCCCCTGTCCCAAAGCACAGAGCTGCAGCCTCAGCAGGGGTTGGTGGGACCCTGCAGAGCTCCCCCTGGGGGTCCCTTTCCCCAGAGCATCTCCTTGCATGCTGAGAATTAATCCCCCCGAATCCACACTCAGCTGCCACAAAAACACCGGAATCACTCGCAACTCAACAGAGTAGGAACCCTCATTGCAGGGAATGCACCCCACACCCCTGTGCCCCCCACAGACAGCAGTGAGTGCAATGCGGGCAGCAATCAGGTGCAGCCAGGAGGTGAGAACTGAGTGCCACCCCCAGAGGTGACACCGCTGCCATTTGGTTCCAATAGCACAACGGAGTCTTCCCCATAGAGCCCCCCCAGGGCCCCCCCAGCACAGCAACGTGGCGCAGCCACGAGCAAAGCATCCCCAGTGCTGACCCCCAGCTGCCCCTGGGCACGGCCGCTTCTGCCCAGGCTGTAATTACCCCCTGTGCTGCCAGGATCCGGCCCCACAAAGTAAACCAGAGCCAGAGGTTCCACCAGAATGGAAAAATGGAAATAGTTCTGGTTGGTGCAGGGTTGGACCCCCCCCCCCAGCTCACCACAATGCGAGTCCCGTTGTCCAGCAGTGTGTCGATGACCAGACTGCGTCCCACCAGGTCCTGGCTGATGTGTGTCCCCTGGGGCTGCCCGGCCCCACGCTGCCCCTCCGGGGGTCCTGGGGGGAGCGGGGAAAGTGTCAGAGGGGGCCCGCAGTGGGATGTGACCCCAGCAGTAACACAGTTGGTGACATGAGTGTCCCAACCCCCAGTGAGCAGCGCTATGATGGGGTGCAGGGAAGGGATGTGAGGTGGCCAAAGACACGGGGACAGCCCTGGGCAGGGGGACAGCTGTGCCAGAAAGGTGAATGGAGGCAAACCACCCCCAAACCGCCCCCAGAGCAACTCAGAGCCCCACAGCAGTGTGCAAAGAGGAGCACGAAGCTTTGGGAATGACAGCAGCTGCAGGGCTTCAGCAATGGGGCAGCGGCACAGCAGCGTCCTTGGACGAGCAGGGGGTGGTCCGAGCTGGGAACATCCCCGACCGTGGGACCCCTCATCCACTCGCTGCTTCTGGAGCACCCGCTCCAGCGGCTTCTTCCCCATCCCTGCCCTGGGACGGAGCACCAGGGGGTGAAGGGGGGGTTGGGGCCGAATCCGCAGCTCCCCGAGGTTTTGGGTTTCTGCTCCCAGCGCCTCTGGAAGGGGAAACTGAAGCACGAGGGAGCGGGGCTGCGCGCGGGGATCCCCGGACGGGCAGGGAACGGATTCTGCGGCTCCGCGTCGCGCTCCCTTTGGGTGCGGGAGCCCCACGCCGCGGGCGGGTTCAGCGGCTGCGGGCATCCCACGCACCGGGGGCCACGCGGACCCGACCTCACCCCCAGGATAGGCACGGCCGGAGCCGCACTCTGCCCACGGCCACGCGAGACCGCGGCCACGAAGCCCCCCGTTCCCGCAACCCCCGACCTCACCCCCCCGCCTCCCCCCGCGCCGGCCCCTACCTGCGCCCCGCGCCCCGCGCCGCCCGCACAGCGCGATGAGGCCGAGCAGGATGAGGCCCCCCCCGCGCATCGCGGTCCCCCCCGCGGCCGGCACCCGCCGGGCCCCCCGCCGGGCACGGGGCTCCGCCACCGGAGCTGGAGCGGAGCCGGGGGTGGAGCCGAGGGGTGGTGCCGGGGGTGGGGATGGGGCCGGAGGCAGAGCCCGAGCCGGGGGGTGCTGGGCCCGGTTCTGCCGGCGCTGTGCCCTCATCCCTCGAGCGGCATCCTCTCATCTCACGTGCAGCGATCCCTCATCCCGCCTGCGGTCACCCTTCGCCCCACGGGCGTTTCCTCCTCACCGGCATCCCGCAGCCCCAAGGCTGCTCACCGCACCCCCGGGCTCCCGCAGACCCCCCCGGGCCGGCACGGCTGTGCGGAGCAGCCCGGACCCCTGGGAAGGGCAGAGGGGTTTCACCCCAAAAACGCGCAACCCACACCCTGAGGACCCTCCGGGGGCGGCTTTGGGGTCCTGACCGAGGGGCGGAGGCAGCGGCAGAGCCCCGCATCTCATCCCCACCGCCGGGACTGATGAAAGCGATGAATGGCACCGGTGCTGCAATTAACTAACGAGCCGAACGCGTGCTGCCCGGCCCGGTGCCCGCTGCCCTCTCCCGGAGGCATTTCTGTGCAGGGACAGCGGGATGCGAGCGAGCACCGCGCGACCACCGCTGGTGGGGGGTGGAAGGGAGATAAAAGGGATCCAAAAAAGAGGAAACCCCCCATAAAGGAAAAGAAAAAAAATGAGGGGGCACCCGGATTTGAACCGGGGACCTCTTGATCTGCAGTCAAATGCTCTACCACTGAGCTATACCCCCGCCGCTGCACTACGGCGTCGGAGCGCCCAGGGATGTCCGCGGGCTGCGCTGTGCCGGCTGCAGGGCGCGATGCGGGTTTGCACACCTTTGCACACCCTTGCACACGCATGCATGCACTCTTTTCCTCATCGCTCCAGCAGTGCTGCCCTCACCGTAGATGGAGACCCATCCCCAACCCTCAGTGGCTGCAGTTTCGAGGCAGCAGCGAAGCGGAACCGAATCCCGGAGCCGTGGCGGAGCTGTGCGGGACCGGGGGGAGCGCCGGA